ACTATAATTTAGAAAATTAACATACCTTGTGCGGATCATCAGTCCAGTCCCGATTCTTGAGGATCTCTGCACACTCCTTGTAGGAGTTGAAACATGAGCGAATCTTCAAGCCAGCCTTGAGAAAAGTAACTAGCGTTTCATCTTCCACAAATGTCAAGATGGATTTTAATAGCAATGCTTCTGCGTAGCAAAGCTCAGCATGAATTTCCATGGTGGTGTACGAATTATAATTAGGTCGCTTCACCATCTTTCCAATTGTTTCAACCATAGAATTCTTCCTGCGGTGCTGGTCACAGACATTGACACATGTCTTTAGTGCTGCTGAAGCTGCCTTTATGTGTTTGGCTCGGAAAGTCAACATTGCCTCCAGAAAACAGAATACAGATGAGCCAAGCGAATGATACAGGCTTGTATCCTGGTAAGCTTTCAGTGTCAAGCGCGCCTCATCAAACTGGTTGTTAAAAAAATAGTTGATGCTCTTGCGAGCATCCAGCAGAGCGCTTTCAAGATCCTGGCCTGACGGGTGGTAGAGGTGGCTGTCCTCCAGCTCACCCTCCGACAAGTCCTCACAGGCATCTTCAAACTCGTCTTGATCGTCATCCATGGCTATGGACAACCGCACCCGACTCCCGCTAGGAGGCGCTGACGTTATTTTCTGTCTCTCTCACTTTTACGCCCGTGTAGCCAACCTCAAAAAACGAAACTTCTCCATCGATCCCGCGTAAAAATCCCATGTTAGACGCCCGGGTTTTTTGAATGTGGCCATAGAAACGACCGAAACCCCTAACAGGAAAGGACAATTTTGTACCAAGATTAGAAATGTTTTGGACACATTTAACCCAGATACTAGGAACATTTCTAGATATTAGTTCCTGGCAAGACACAAATTTGAATACAAATTTGTATTTGGGTTAGATGTGAGCAAAATACACTAACCCCATATGTACAATAGTTGTCCTTACCCAGAGAGAATGCATGTCCTTAGGTGTAATTAGATACACACTGGGTAAATACTTCAGAGGAAATTAAAAGCGAAGTCCATCATTATTTTTTGTCAACTAGTTTATTTTGTTGCTTTTCATAGAAAATGAAGTAGCTGCCAAGGGCAACGTTGTCATCAGCAGATGAGTTTTGCACTGGTGAGACCTGAAAAATGGCATTAATTATTGGTACACATTCACCCGACTTGAGATGAAGCAATAATAATTGAACAGGAATTTCATACCTTTTCATCATCAAACTCATATGTTGAGCCATTAGCTGCAACAGCAAGGCAAGTGTAATGGCCACGTTTTGCCCCTGGACCATGATGGTTTACACAAGCCAAAAATTTGTACCTACAACCATCTTTGTTTCCTGAAAAAATATGAGACAATAAGTTTAGTGAATGACTCAAGTTTAAAATTTAATATCGACATCAAATATAAAATATAAAATTTAAAACCGCAACCCCACTTCAGCAGTTGGAAAGGAACACATTTCAAATGTCTTTAAGATTCACCTACCTTTGTAAAACTTCTTGAGGTCCAACGTTGGATCCACCTTGCAGGGCGAGTTTATTTTGGCCCCTGTCTGTGCCTGAAATCTATTGTTTGACAAATAAAAAAATAGAACACTGAAGTATTGCTAATGAGCATAAAGATAGATATAGAGCAATAAATGTAATCACCTGTTTAAAGTAATAACCAACACATTAGGAGGATTGATTATAGAGGACGCTTTGTAAGCCCCACTTTGGGACCTGCAATTTTGGCATTTATAGCCAACCAGCTTCGATGGCTGAAAATAGACAGAAATTGCCTGCAGTACACTATCCTGCAACACCACATTCAGGTCGCTAATGGACTGAATGGACTTTGAAACTCCTTTGCAATTGAGGCAAGTTACTGCAACATAGGAAAAATGGTAAGCTTTTTCAACAGAATCCTACACAAACCATAAAGTAATGCTCTGAGAATGATTGTTGCTGTTATACTTATTGTTAATTGCTCACCTTCTTGAAGGATATGTCCCTGAAATATTAATTTGATGGGTGATGTTGCAGAATTGTTGGAGTTTCTCCTGGAGAAGTAGTAAAAGATGAAATCCCAGATAAGACGTATTTGTTAGAAACTAATTGTATCACAATAACATATTACTCACTGAGAAATTGGAAACCGCTTTAAATACTCTTCATCAAGCTTGTCCAGATAATGAGTTAAGAACTCATGTGAGTCCTCCTGCCTCCCTCTCTTCAAAAAAGAGTGAATCACTAAAATCAGAATGAGTTGAAGGATAATTTGCAGGGGTCCATAACTTAACACTCGAGTACCCTTTAACGCATTATGGTAACTGTTAAAGTTAAAACTTTTAAATTATGAGAGACAACTGAAACTTCACCTTATATAGACATTTTTGTGCCAGATAAACGTCTGACATACACTAGAATGTTTTTTGAAAACCCATAATCTGAACTTTCATCAATATTCTCTATTAGTTAAGTTATATAACTAACGCATAACTTATATGCGTTAAGTCACAGACCCATGATAATTTGATGAGACAGTCTAACATAAGTTTGGAGTCATAAGTAAGATCTTACTGGGCAGTTGGTTGTAAATTCGAACAGGGACCACAAGAGAGGACTGGTGACTTCTTATCAGAGTCTCTGCTACAGAGCACATCAAGCATGTATTATTCTTTTTTAGAGTACAATTGTCTCGGTGCCTTTGGTCCTCAAGGACCAATGAGACAAATGCAGGTATGTGAAATAGTGCCTATGAACAAAGAAATTTATCGGAAACTATAGACAATACTTTTAAGTGAAAACTAAAACAGCAAATGGATAGATAGACACAAATATACCTGCAATGCAGCATTAATATAACAGGTGTTGCCCTGATTCTTCATTCCACTGCCAACAGGATACTGTTTGGTCCAGCCCAGCTTGATTGAAGATGGTGGATACAGATATTTTGGAGCACCACTCTGATAATTAAGCTGAGGCCGAGGGGGAGCCTGTGGACTCTGTTGAACCTGCTGCTGTCTGAGTCGAGACTGCGCTGAGAGAGCAACAGGTGTCTTCAGAATTGGCTGTATAGCAGGAACCTATATTGTGAAAGAACAAAAGTAATGTGTAAAATATGAAGTCCCATTTTAATGGTTTATTTTAGAAGTTAATATACTCACACAAAGGGGTTGAGGTTTGGGAGTAACTTGTGAGCCCTGTTGGACACGCTGCAGTGTCCCACTTGGAGGCACAGGGGTGACAAGAGCTCTTTGAGGTTT